TGATCACACAGGCTGGTGTGCTTCTTCCATGTGGGCTTTGTTGCTTCTCAGCTAGATGGCCGCCTGTTTATCTTCTAGCCTTTAAGACCCCAGACGCTATATCTGTTGATAGCCAAGCACCATCAGCTTTCTTCACCACATTTGCTTATGCACCCGCTTTGTCTTCAGCAGTTGTGTCAGAAAGATGAACATCATGGAATGCCAGTTTAATAGAACAAAGTGTTCTTGCATTGAGGGACTACTTGAGTGGAGACCCAATGTCCATCTGCTACGTTAATACTGAACCTATACATATATGCACATAGATCTATTTCCACATCCTCACATATAAATATATTTACATATGTACATGCCTTTATTCAGACCTCCATATATGCCCTTTGCTTCCTAGCTCTCTCCTCCATTTCCTTTCACCTTCCTCCTATCCCAATATCATGTTCAGCCTTCATTTGGGTTTCAGCAACTCCTCTCGGCTACACTACACTTGATCACGCCCTACCAGGCCTCCTACACCCTCCTCACCACCGATGTGGATCACTTGTTGTTCCCTTGTCCCTGGGCCTGTTAACACCACCCCTTCCCTCCCTCCCCCTCCTCCATGTCCCCCCAGAACTGTCAGTCCCGTTGTTTTCTCCTCCAGATTGTCCATCCAGCCTCTTATCTAGACAGACCTGCGAAGACAAAAACATGCACAAAAACAAGAGAGAACAAAACCAAGCAATAAAAGAAAACAAAACAACAACAACAACAAGCCAATGACAAAATACAAAACAAAACACAGCTACAAGAAAGAAAAGCTTGTAATTAGTTCAAGGACTGTTTGTTGGCCTTTAGGGGTGTTTTCCGGTTGAGTCTGATAGAGCACCAAGCCCTGGCCCCAAAGTCAATTTTTGGTATTCCCTGGTGACTTCGTTGTTTGTTCCCCTTACTGTTCTGTTGCATGCCCTTCATGTTTTTCCTCAGTGTGGTGGGATCAGATTGGGCGGAATTCCCACATTGTGTCTCCAATGTTGTCCCCTGTACGGCTATGGGTCAGTGAGGGACGTCCTGTCTCATAGTGGGGCCAGCCATATGGTCTTCTGTGTGGATTGGATGCTCTAAGTGGGAATCTCTTCATCAAGGCTTG